GCCGGCGCGCGCAGGATACCCTTGTCAGCCTAGCCAACCGAGCGGCCACGAAAGAAGCTGAGCGACGTATCTCGGGTAACGCGGTCCAAAAACTCATACACTTCGGTGGATATATATATATATATACACACCTATCCCTACACTGACAGCGTGAACTACACGAACGCATTACATCAGGCCACATAGGGTGGACTCGGTTGGGTGACTCCTGGTTCTCCAATGGGAACAACAAAAGGTTGTCGTTCCTGTCGAACGTCGCGGGCCGCGTCTGGTCGGGCCTCGAGAACTACAGATTGCGCCCCCGTGAGGTACACCGACTAGACCGTACGCTAGCCGCTAGCCAAGAAAGTACGAGTCCTGTTAAAGGGAGCTGCGCATCATCAGGACCCTGATGGCCATCGTCGATCGGTGACAACGCTCATGATCTTTCGTGAATGGCAAGTGGCCCCTACTGCTATCGAGCTTTTAGTGCGGCGTCTCAGATGGTGGCAAATCATAATAAGTAACGTCAGCCACCACGGTCAGTTCCTCGCGGACTTTTTGGAAATATATGATTTTGAGAAGCAGGCGGCCACAAGCAACCGCCCTGTGTCTGTCTCCACCCTCAATGAGCAGGGCGAGATCGGCGAGCGTGCTCATCCATGGGCACGCCAGCTCTCTGCCGACCTCGAGTGCCTCATTTCGCATTCGATTGGCGAATCACTCCGAGAGCTGTGGCAACTGCGGACGATGAAAAAACTCTGGATCGATGACAACATTCGTGACGCCTTTCTTCTGTGTGATATACGAGCGCTACGCGCAGGCTTCTGGACATGCAAGTGGACCCCCCCCGAGGGAAGCGCGATCCTGGAGGCCGTCCCGTCCCAGAATCAGCAGGCTGAGACCGACAGCGACGATGGTCTCCTTCTCCCTTTCTTATTTGGGTTCCCTGGGTGCGGTCTTAGGTTTGGTACAATACGACAGTTGGTAAACCATCAAACCAAAAGCAAAGCTGAAGGACACGGACAACCCCAACGATTAACGACCCTACAGTGCGACAACAAGCACATGTATGCAATACGGCATTCCTAATGTAGATCACGCTGTGCGACACTTAGAGCGCGTTTCTTTATGTTCGGCGATGACGGGCGTCATGGGGGGGGGAAGTGCGGGAGGGGTATGACGTGACGCCCACCCCCGCCGAGTGGCTCCGGCACCACAGCCGCGCCCGCGCTCACGACGCGACGAGCGACGAGCGACGAGCGACGACGCGAGCAGCATGTCAGTGGCGATCTGCCCATTGCGCCTGTGTGCACCACAACGCTCGCGTGCACCACACCGCGCGTGTGCACCACAGCGCCTGCGTACACCGCAACAGCCGTGTGCAACGCACCGCCCGTGTATACCACAATACTTGGGAGCACTACAGCGCCGGTGTACAGACACCGCAGCAGCCATGTGCAACACAACGCTTGTGAACACCACAGTGCTTGCGTGCACCGCAGCGCCTGTGTACGCCACGGCGCCCGTCTACACCACAGCATCCGCGTGCAACGCAGCGCTGGTGTACACCACAGCGCCTGCGTGCACAGGACAGGTAGAAGGAGCGTGTACGTCAAGATTTGCTGCGGACAACGAAACGCCACGCCAGGAAAGTTCTGAGAATCGAATGTGGCGTTCTTCCTTCGTCCCTCCTCCTCCACCTCCACCTCCACCTCCTCCTCCTCCTCCTCCTCCGCCTCCTCCTCTTCCTCCTTCTTACCCCCCGTCGTGCGGCTTGACGTTGCAACGCACGTGCACATCTCAGCGTGCACCGCAGAATGGTCGATTGAATCGGTCCACTTGGTTCTCGGACGGCCAGTTTAGCTGGAGCCTCCAGGACGCAAATGGGAGTTAGGGTGATGCGGGCGGACTCGGGGGGACTCGTAGATTCCAACGGCGCTCCTCTGTCCATGAGGATTTGTTTTCCATTGTTCTCTCTGGAATCCACACGCGCTCCATTTTGTCACAAGGATCCCTTCTGAAATTCTATACACAACAATTGTGCTGTGTTGCACACGGCTGATGTGGTGCACACAGGCGCCATGGCGCACACAGGCACTGCAATGCACGCAGGCATTGTGGTGTACACTGGTGCTGTGTTGCGCACGGCTGGTGTGGGGTACGGAAGCGCTGTGGTGTACGCAGGAGCTGCTGTGCCCGCAGGCACGGTGGCACAAACTGACGCTGTGTTGCACGCGGCTGCTGTGGTGTACATCGGCGGTGTGGTGTGCACAGGTGCTGCGGTGCACGCGGGCACTGTGATGTACACAAGCATTGTGGTGCATATCGCCACCTACATGTTCGTGCTACCCGTCCTCCGTCATTCCTAAGCATTCCCGGACGCCGCCAGCGCGAAACGTGACGTCATCGACCCCCTCCCCCCCCCCAGATGATTGCCGTCATCGGCCCGGACTAAAAAACAGGCTCCAGCCGCGTCCGCGCGCACGACGACAATGAGCAACGAGCGACGAACCACGAGCGACGACGACGGACGACGACGACGACGACGACGACGACGACGACGACGACGACGACGACTCCTGCGGACCAGACACCTATGCGGATTCCTACGCGGACACCTACGCGGATCCCAACGCGCACGGCGGCAGTGCCCGGAGCGCACTGGGGGGGGAGCGTTACGTCATAGGGGTGGGGGGGAGCGGGGGCCATGACGCCCCTCATGCCCCAAGCAATCAAGAAACGGGCTCTCACGACGATCATGGCTACATGGTAGGTGTATCGCGAAGCCCACACATCATGTATATCCATGGACACCTTCAGCATGTACGACATGCCCTATAGCTGAGTATCAAGTGGATACTGCATGCATTCCTGAATATTATGACCCTGAGAAGCTACTGCAACACGTAACCACTCACATTCCTCCGTCTTCATCGGGCTCGTCGCTCAAGGCCATATCTCGCAGAGAGGCTGCTGGCACCACCACCCAACCTTCGAGTGGGCCCTCCACATCGCCGCTCCCACCGCATCTCTCACGAGCTGTGGAGGACACATTGGCGGCCAGACGCGAGCTGAGACGTGCTGCTGACCGACTCATCCTGCCAGCTCGCGTGAAGCCCCCCGCCCGAGCGAAACCACTCAGTGTTGGTGCCTCGAGAGCAACATCGATTGCAAGCCACGAAACAGCCCCAGCCCCAGCGTGGACACGACAGGCAGCGGCAACCCCGACACTACCACCTCCACCTGCTGCGCCTCAAGACGAAGATGCCAGAGGACGTGATGGACGAGGCGAAGGCGAAAGCCCTGCTGCCCGCGAAGGCAGCGTGGTGCCACCCCCTGAGCTCCTCCCAGGCCTCGCGAGGATCTGGGCCAAGCTCGGGGAGAGCCGGGGGAACACCACCAGCGGCCAAGCCCAGGCTGACGGGCCCCCGGCCGCCTCGCGGAGCAGCGGCAGCGGCCGACGTGGACATGGAGGGCGAGGGCGAGGAGGACGGCGACCGCCGCAGGAAGCCGAAGCGCCGAGGCGGGCGGCTAGCCCGCCGAGGCGAGCATCAGATCAAGACGTGGAGCAGCAAGGACAAGAACCTACTGGCGCTGTACCTGGTGAAGTGCTTAGAGCTTAGAGGCAGAGGCGGAGGCGGAGCCCGACATCGACAACGCCATGGAGAGCGCCGTGAGTTTCATACGCTTGGAGAGCTGCTACGAATCGCAGAAGATGAAAGTCATATTCGGCGCCGACAGCTGGGAGGGGAGGTCTCTCATACGGAAGGCCCTGCGGGCCGAGGACGCAGCGATTCACCACAAAGGGGTGGCACCACCGGGCTGGCTCGAGGACGAGGTGGGCCGTTGGCTCGAGACGAGCAGCGAGGGAATGTCACACAGATTAGGTTCGTGAGTGGTGGATTTCTGCCAGCCGCCCGCACCGCCCCTGCCCGCATTGCCTCACCCAGCTCGGAGGGAGGCGAGCAGCTGCTAGAGCAGCTTGCCGACCCCGTACCTGCTTATAACAAATACGAGGCCGACGATCTCGTGGCAACTGACTTCTATGATCCAGCTGCCCCCGCATGCTGCTAGGCCTCAGTGTGTAAGCACTCTTGCAGGCATCATGCCCCGAGCAGCGTTCGAGGGTCACAGCTCTCTGCGACGAGTCTGACTTTTTGCAAGTTGGCATGCACAATCCTTTCCTTCTTATATCGCTCTCAGGTCGTTGGAAAATGGTCATGGTCATGAGGCTAAATATGATGATGATGACGATGATGCTGATGCTGATGATGATGGTGCTGATGATGCTGATGGTGCTGGTGATGCCGATGACGAAGATGGCGACGCGACGACAACGACGACGACGACGATGATGATGGTGATGATGATGACGATGATGGTGACTGTGACGATGATGCTGCGGATGATCACGCGGATAAAACAACTGACGACGATGATGGTACTGATGATGATGTGATGGTGATGATGCTTGTGGTGATGATGAGGGTGATGGTGATGATGATGCTGATGATGATGATGTTGGTGGTGATGATGTTGATGGTGGTGATTATGATTGATGGTGGGTGCTTGATGGCGGCGATGATTATGATGGTGATGATGATGGTGTCGAGGATGATAGTGGTGATACTGATGATGATGCTGATGATGCTGATGATGACGATGATGATGATGATGATATTGAATGTGATGATGGTGGTGATGCTGATGATCATGATGATGGTGTTGAGGATGGTGCGGATGCTGATGATGCTGATGATGCTGATGCTGATGCTGATTGTGATACTGATGGTGATGGTGATAATGCTGATGCTGCTGCTGATGATGATGATGATGATGATGATGTCGAGGACGAGGAAGACGACTCTGTACATGATGAACACGATGAGGGTGGTGGTGATGAGGGATGGGGGGGATGACGGAGAGAGGGGGGATGAGGGAGAGAGGGAACAGCTGCGAGGGAAGGATGCACAGTAAGGGAGAGTGGAAGAGGCAACAAACGAGAGAGGAAGAGGATTATCAAGTGCTTCTATTGCGCTCACATGAAGGACGGCCTTCTATTTGTGACCGTGGACGCAGGTGTGGTGGCGATCGCGATCATTGCGGTAAGGCAACACGGCCGATCCGACCAGGCCAAGGAGAAGCCGAAAGTTGAGGAGAAGTGTTCGGAGGAGGGATGAGGGAGAAGCAGGAGTAAGGAGCTCTGCTCACTCGTCGTCCTCGTCGGCCTTCTCCACGCTGGCGGTCAAGAGGTTCTTCGCCTCGTCTTCCTCTGGCCGGAGCATCTCAACGCCCGCGTCATCACCACCAGTGTGCATCTCCATGAGCTTGGTAATATCGAATTTGGGCTTCTTGAGAATCTTAACCTTCTTAATGTGGACATCCTTCAGGGGAAATATGCCCTGCGTCTCCTTTTCTATCTGCTTGCCGATGGACTCGGGGATGAGCTTCTTCACAAGGTCCCGGAGCTGCACCTTGTTGACCTCGCCAGTCATGATGTCCGTCATCTTCTTACGAATCTTGCGGATCTGGGCCGTCTGCGCGTAGCAGTTGTTCTTCTCCTGCCCCGGCTGCTTCTTGGTGAACGCGAGGCAGAAGAGGCGCACGAGGTACCCGTCCGTGGTCTTTACGTCCACGTGGGCCTCGATCAGTGTGTGCCACTTGCGGATCAGGGACTGCTGCTTGTCGCGCGTAAGCTCCAGCGCGTGGAAGTCCGTGAGGCAGTTGCGGCCCTGCACCTCCTCGATGCAGAGCTTGACCTTCTTGTAGGCCTGGTCCTCGTCATTGTTCAGGTCCGCCAGGTTGAGCTCCAGCACGCGTCCCTTCAGCTCCTCGGTGGCGATCTTGGTGCCCTGCGTGCGCGTGACCAAGGTCTTGCCGCAGTTGCGGACGGTGAAGACGCTGGGCGCCTTGATGTCGTACCACTCCTTCTTCAGGAACGGGTCGCCCGCCTTCTTCTTGCCGCCCTTCCTTCCTCCCTTGGTGAGGCGCTTGTTCTTGCCAACAGCCATGTTGGTTCGCCCTCTGTCGCTCGCTACCAACGCGGAAAACCGTAGCTTGCCACAAACTTGATCTCGAGCCAAAACGGCTACGGAGGAGAAGAAGCGAGGAGGGAGAACGGAGGGAGAGGATCTGAGAGGATGGTGGAGGATGCACGAAGGAGGGGAGAGGCAAGACGGAAGGAGGAGAGCGGAGGTGAGGAAGGAGCCATACCCCCCTACATCGTTTTGCGCAGCATGGACCCCGGGGGTCTCGACCCAATTCCCAAGACCGGATGCTCACTCCGAGCAAAGCTTTGATGGTCCAAGGGGCCCAGGAAGGTCCCGAAATGTGATAATTTTCAAATACTTTATAAGTCACAGCGCAGCAGAGGCAAACCGCACGATAACTCGGGCAAGCCGGGTGACGGCATTGCGAATTGCCGGCAGCAAGAATGGAAAAAGGAGAACGGGGAGGAGCGGTCGCGGGAGAAGGGGGAAGGCTAGAGCGCTCACGCGGCGGCTCCACCCCAAAAAACAAACTTCCAAATTAGCCTGGCGAAGGACCCAACAATATGCAGTTGTGAGCACCGTGCAGTCGAACGCAGCCACGGGGGCCGTCGGTGGAGCTCCCTATGGGGCCACGAAACGTGTGAGGGGTGTGCCGAAATGGGTACGGCGCCGCCATACGAACGCAGCCACTGGCGCCTTCGGTGGAGCTCCCTATGGGGCCACGTGAGGGGTGTGCCAAGAGTGTGCGTGGGTGACGCATGCGGGCGGTGGCACCGGGGCCTTCGGTGGAGCTCCTCATGGGGCCACGAAACGTGTGAGGGGTGTGCCGAAATGGGTGTGGGTGACGCATGCGGGCGGTGGCACGGGCGCTTTCGGTGGAGCTCCCTATGGGGCCACGAAACGCGTGAGGGGTCTGCCATGGGTGTGGGTGACGCATGCGGGCGGTGGCACTGGCGCCTTCGGTGGAGCTCCCAGTGTGCCGAAATGGATGCGGGTGACGCATGCGGGTGGTGGCACGGGCGCCTTCGGTGGAGCTCTCTCTATGGGGCCACGAAACGTGTGAGGGGTGTGCCGAAGTGGGTGTTGGTGACTCCCTATGGGGCCCGACACGTGAGAGGGGTGTTTCCGAAATGGATGCGGGTGACGCATGCGGGCGGTGGCACTGGGGCCTGGTGGAGCTCCCTCTATGGGGCCACGAAACGTGTGAGGGGGGATGTGCCGACATGGGTGTGGGTGACGCATGCGGGCGGTGGCACTGGGGCCTTCGGTGGAGCTCCCTATGGGCCCACGAAACGCTGTGCTGTGTGGGCGAAACGCAGGAAGGAACGAGGAGGGGGAGGAGGGGGAGGAGGAGGAGGGAGGAGGGAGGAGGGAGATGAGGAGGAGTGACGCGAGGCGCTGTCTCTTCAAAACGAGGACCCAACACCACAGGATGGTTGGGAACAACTGCAGTAGAATGTTGAACGACTCGATGGTCCTGGGTCCAGGCAAAACGGCCCCCCGGCGCCGAACACAGCGCCGAGAGGGGAGGGAAAACGACAGCGGGGTTATGAGAAAGCAACTAGGTACAACAACGGGACTGTGAACAAACGAAAGAAATCCTGCGGAAGTCTCTGGCCCCTGGCCCTCTCTCGACCTCTTCCCTGGGCTGGGCTGGAGCTTTGCGGGCGTCTCCCAGGGTGCGTCCCAGCTCGGCCGTGGCCACGATGAGGGCCCAGAAAAGATTGCACAACGCCCGAGCGCCTCGATGCTGGCACCTCGGTTCTCGAGGCAGGGCCTGTGGCGACGGCGGCGGCGCCTTGCCGAGCTTGGGTGCTCCGAAAACGGAGGGCCAATTGGAGGGGGGGGGTATCGCCTCGCGGCCCTCGACGTGCGCGCGGACGAGCGGGGGCGGGGGGGGTGCTAGGGGGCCGCACCGGAGGGAGAGGAGGGGGCCGTGAAATCTGGGCGCCTGCAGTACCCTCGCCCGGCCATGGCGTGGGCATCTCCAGAAACCTTGAGGGCACATTAGCAGGACCCAGGGACACACACATGAACAGGCACAAATCTTAAGAACCCTCATGTTTTTCAACATTTTCTGGAGTTCTGTCTTCCCCTTCACTTCCCATATGTTCCATGCTTTCTGGGGAATCGACGTGTATTTGTGTCTGTGTCGAGTTTTCCCTCAAGACACGTGAGCGACGAAAAGAAAGGGCCTTACGCGAGATGGCATAGCGACCTTACGCGGTGGCATAAGCGGGCCGCCAGCGCGGCACGCTACATTGGAGACGAGAGCGCTTACGTGCGACCTTACGCAGGAACCTTACGCGCGAACGTCGGCGAAGACGACCCCGTTTTTCCCGTCGCCCACATGTTGACCGCGTGCTTGTCCTTCCGCCGCGTTCCGCCGGCCTTCCGCTGGCCTTCCGCCGGCGGAACCGCCGCCGTATTTACTTCCGCCGGACCCCTCCGCCGAGGGCGGGGACGCGCCGAAACGAGGCCCTCTCTGAAGCGCGCCATGTCCACACACACACACACACCAGTCCCAGACATCCGACGATGTGATTCTGTCAGTACGCGGCCCCAGACATCCTGACCCCTCTCCCCAGGGTAATGTGTAGTCTTGGGTGAATGTTTGATTGTCCCGGGGTCCGATCGTAGCAACCTCCCAAATGGAGTCCGAGTAGAGTGAGTCGGAGGATCGCGCCGCATCGCCAATGCATCGGCGACGTCGGTGATGCATCGGCGACGCCAGCGTGGTAAACATCGGGCATCACATCGAGCCGCATCGCCGATACATCGGCGATGCGATCTGATCCTCCGACCCCACCTACTCCGACCCCATCTGGGAGGCCTCGAGACGGAGGGCCCCAGAATCGGACATCCAGTGGACGCGCCAGGATTGCACGTCGGGGATCTGGGCTCGACGCCCCTTGGGCTGCGGCGGCGACGGCACTGGGCCGAGCGCGCGCACAGAGGGCGCCGAGTCGAGCCGAGCGCGCCGACGCCGTCGATAACGATGTCGCGGAGGCGGCGTCGTTCTACTTCCGCCGGCCTTCCGCCGGCCTTCCGCCGCCTTCCGCCGAGGAAGAGATGACATCTCTTTCTATCCTCGAAGGCAGGGCCTTTTTGGAACGCCCCATGTGACAATACAGGACGTGTTTAGATGATACGCAATAGCACGCATGCTGCAGACACCGAGGTTGTAATGACACTACGTGCTCTGTGACAACACATACCGTACGCATACGATGATTCATGTCGTTGCGGCGAGCTCCCTCTGGTCACCAATGCAAGCAGAACCACGTGCTGCAAACAGGCAATGTAATCTGATATATGCTGGCAAATTTAAACTTGCATGTTTTGTTTAGCCGCCCCGTGGCTTTTGTAACATGCTGTATCCGAAGACATGATACTGTTGCTCCTTCCGAATGACCGGCAAAGAAGAAAAATGGTCAACCACCCGAACGACCGATCTGCAAACCAACCAAACGAGCAAACAACCAACTGACCGACCGAACGATCCGCCGACCGAGCAAACGTCCGACCAATCAGCAAACCAACAACGCGACCAACCTCGCCAAACAACCAACCAACCAACCGACCAACCGACCAACAACCCAACCAACCAAGCGACCGACGAACCAACCAACCAACCAGCCGACGAACCAGCCAACAAACCGACTAACTAGCCAAACAACCAATCAACAAACCAACCAACCAACCAAACGGCCGACGAACCAGCCAACCAACCAACTAACCAAACAACCAACCAACCAGCCAGCCAGCCAGCCAGCCAATCAGCAAACCAAGAAATAAATCAATCAATCAATCAACCAACCAAACAACCAACCAACCAGCAAGCCAACCAACCCACCGAACAACCAACCGACCGACCGACCAACCAATTTTGGCACACCCTTCACACGGATCGCGCCTGGGGGACTGGACAATTTTTTGAGCCCTCAGAAAATTGTGTTGAGGCCTCCGATTTTCTTTTACTGAACCTTCACAATTGAACCTGCTCCCCCGCTGCTACCACTTCGCGTTCAGCGATCGGGGGACCCCACGGGGCCCGCACCAAAAGTCGCTCCGACGAAAGGTCCCTCCTACGTGCAGTCGAGCCAGCGACGGCCTGCCAGAAGCGGCGGCGGCGCCCCGGGCCGTGGCGCGCGCGCGGGGGCCAGCCCGGGGCGCCTCGCGACGGCGCCTCGGGCCCTGGCGCCTCGCGGCGGGGGGGGAGCGAGGCCGATCGGCGGGCCACAGGTCGGCACGGCGGCGACCTGCCACCGTGTCCTGGTGCCTCGCCTCGTCCTCCGTCGCCTCCGTTCCGTCTCCTTATAGATAACTCCTCCCTGTCGCACCCCGAGGCCAGTTTTTAGGGCGGGCCGGGCGTTTCGCCTGAGATTTCCTCACCATGATTCTGAAGCTTAACAAGTGACAGCAAGTTCACCGATGCATGGCGGGTCGCTTTCAACATGTGGCTCTTGCCTTAGCGCCGCGCAGATTGGTTTTACACTGTTGCAGGAGCTTCACGGATTGAGGGCGGGTGGTTTTCAAAATGTGGCTCTCGCCTTGGCGCCGCGCACATTATTTTCAACATCTGCAACTGTTTCACGGATTGAGGTCGGGTGGTTTTCAACATGTGGCTCTCGCCTCAGCACCGCGCACATTCGCCTTAAACATTTGCAAAAGTTCCACGGATTCCCATGATCAGCGCACCACAAATGGTGTTTTGGAAGGATTCAGGATTATGCGGGCGCAACAGTTATGTTGATTCGCTGTGTTGAAGTCTCAAAAATGGCTTTCTGGCACGATTCTGGATCGTCAAGACGCAGCAGTCAGGTTGACACGTGGCGTTGAAATCCCGAGAACCATGTCTTGGCACGCTTCAGGAGATTCAAACTGTTGTCTTCCAACGAGGCAGTTCCCTCAATGGAAATGAACCGTAGTAGGGGCCTGTGAAGAGGAAGCTTGGAGGAAGGGTTAATTCGAACATCGTTGATGACTCTTCTTTTTTTGTTCAACATCGTTGATGACTCTTGGGCTTCCACTGGTCCTCCTCCTCCTCCTCCTGCTCCTCCTCCCCCTCCTCTTCCTCCTATCTCCTCCTATCTCCTC